TTAATTTTTGGGTGAACTAACCCTTTAAGATTTTGGAGGAAAAAATTCCAGGATTTTTCTCCATATAGTGGACTTCAATGGTGGCCAATGGGTTGAAGGTCCAAACTGCAGCTTCAGTGCAGCTTCAAAGGGCTCTACACGATCCCAGCCGAGGAATAAGGGTCTTATCTTGTGAAAAAATTGTCATTTTTATAAAAAAAATAAAAATGAAAATGTATATACTTTTTAACCACAAATGCTCGTCTTGCTCTAGCTATGCGATGTGTGTCCACGACTTTACGCATTGCGTAATCACATTGGAATTAGGGCTGCACGATAAATCGCATGCGATATTTAATGCGCATCTTGTTAGTAAAGCCGGTTCTGTAATCAGCGGTAAATCTCCTGCGCAGCTCGTCACCGGCTTTCTGACAAGATGCGCATTAAATATCGCATGCGATTTATCGTGCAGCCCTAATTGGAATGGTCACATTTTTTCCTAGCGGAAGAAGTCTTTTAGGTTTCAAAAGATTTAAAGGTCCGGGATACGCACATGAATGGACCATTTTAAACAATAAACTCATTCAAAGACATATGAGTTTCATTCAACATACAACTTTTGAACGGTCCACCTTCTCCACACTTGTAAACACTGGGTCGGTACTTCCACCTACTCCAATGTGATTACATAATACTAGTGAGCTTATCCTTTAACAATTCATTCTTGGTATGTATAAGCTGACGTTTCACAGTGTACATTCCTAAACCCTGAGTTTTCTTTTTTTATTTGCGTTGTCAATGTCGTTGATTGTGATCTGATTCAGTAAAAGCTCTAGCATTGCACATCCTCGTATTATTACAGACAGGTCTTTCCTAAATGGACTTTTCAGTAGACTGTAAACGTAAGAATAAAGCAGTCTCTTCTTCACTCCAATTCATGTGTTTTCGACCACCATTTAACATGCACACAAAAGATGAAACCGTTTCTGTGACTGTCCAAAGCACATGAATACGAGGCACACAATTGGCTGTCTGTTGCTAAGCATCTAGCTGTAACATTCTAACACCACATCATTTTAACACTGTACAAACAAAAGCAGTGCTAACTGTGCTCTGAAGCAGGGTTTCATACGGTTAAGAGTGGGGTTTAGAACGACAATAACCCGGGTTTAAGTGCGGTGTGAAAAGCCCTGTTGAGATTTTAGCTCCTTGTAAGGCATCAGTTTGTTTCCCATTTCCAGCTGTTCTGGAGTTTCTCACTCATCTCCGTTTTGTTGCACTGATACTTGTTTTTATTGTCATCATCTTGTTGTGTCTCCACAGAGAGTGCACTCAATGAGGAGAACTTCACGATAAGATGCCCGAAGCACAAGGTGACTATTATTTTAGCTGGAGTTTCTCAGAAACAATGAGTTTAAGTTATGGAAATGACATGAGTTTGCAGCATAAATAGACTGCAGTACTGGGTTTCTCAGCTTTATTGTCTTCCTCTTGCATCATCCTCACTGCTGGTAATGATCACTCATATTTTTGTCTTCTCAGAATAAAACATCCAGAATGAGCGTTAGCAGGTTGAAGAACAGATGACATTTGGGAGGTGCTGATATGTCTTTGAAGGTATTTTACTGCAAGTATCTCACTTATCAAGCCTTAGACATTTTATTTTGCCTTTAGAACTGTATTTTTAGTTTTTCACCTCGAAATCAGAAGAACGACGTTAGTTATATTTTGCTTAAAGAAAATGCGGGCATGTTCTTGACAGGTTTTGTGAGATTTTGCGAGTAGTAATTATAACACTCTGTCTCACTTAAATAAAAGCATCTTTAACTTCTGTGATATTTTCATGAAAGTTAAGCACATTTTTCATTTTGTTGGGTAAGTTGCTAAATAAAAAGTACTTCATTACTAGCTATACTAATTATATATTTATCAGTGTAATGTACTAATTACTCTCTCTAAAAAGTAATGCATTATTTTTTTTTTCTAAATCCTGAATCAAACTCGACCAGTTGAACAATACATTAATAGACATGAAACTGCTCTTTTAATTTTTAAAAATAAATAATATAGAATTGCGCAAGTTATTCTTGAACTGGCCAAAGTATTTAAAGGGGGAAAGTTACATTAAACATCAAATGTTACATTTTGACATTAAATCCACTATTGTTTATATATAATTGTTATAAAATCTGTATAGTTTTTAATGGCATTACATTACATTATATCAGCGTCGGCGCCACGAGGGGGGGGCTGAGGGGGCCCGGCCACCTCGGTCACTGTGCCCCCCCCCCCCCCAATAAATTGTGCCTGCCCCCTCACTTTGTGCGCTCTGGCGCCGACCCTGCATTATATCATTCAGTTCATTCATTCATAATGCTAAAACGGTGTATTATTAGAGGTATTCATAGATCATGGTAGAATTAGTACTGCCCTTTTTTCATAGAAATCCACAAATTACAGTATTTTTATATTTACAGTTACTGTATTCCATAAATTAGATCCAGGAACAGATTTGGAAAACAGTGACATATTATAGATATAATAACACTTCTAATGCAAGTCTGACAGACTCTTGTTCTTGTTTGGTGTCAGTTTTTCAGCATTAATGAAATACTAATTTCAAACACTAAAGCTGTGTTTTATGGTGTAATGATGTTTAATTTCTCTTTGATTTTCCTCTGCAGGTAGACGTCGACAGACGTTGGGTTATCTGGCTGTGGAGTGGATCCCTAATGTGTTTACAGATTGTTCCATTTGAATTAGTACTTCACGTATTGAGTGTTTACATGTACGCTCAGGCAGTTGAATGTTCGCGACTGGATGTGCTGCAGACAGCCACTGCCTTGTACCTGTTAACCCTTGGACAATGCTGGATGATTTTCTTCGCATTCCTAACACCCGAGAAATTCAACCACTGCAGATTTTTACATCTCCATTTCATTTAAGTTTACTGAAGGCCAAATATCTCCCGTCTGCTTCAGGCTGAATCCCGTAAAACCCTTTACAATGTTACGGCAATCTAACCAACAGTGGAGATAAAAACGAGAGCCCCGTTTGATTTGAAGTGACAGTACAAGCGTATCGTGCTTGATTTTTCTCCTTGATTTTTATTCTTATATGCACTTAAGCATCTCGTTCATTAAATATGTAACACCAACTGTCCATTCTGTAACCGCGATGTCTTTATTACGTAAAACTGAAATGCTGAATGAACTAGTCTCCTCCAGTGGTACCGTATGCACTATTATGTGAACATATTTATTTCTATTTGTTTAATGCATAGGTGTATATTTATTTGCCAATGAACAGCCTCTTTTAAAAGGACAGAGTGTGTTTTAGCACCTTGTATAAATGCACTAAAGGCACATTATAATTTGATGTTTGTAACAGCTTACAGGGTGCTTTAAATATGAATCTGATTTCAGTTTTATTTTGCAACTCGTGGCCTGGGAATCTAGGAGTCACAGCGTCTGTAGGATTTTCCATTTCACCTGATGCCTTGTGATGTTTCGAGTTCTGTTTCTTTCAATAAATGTTTTTATTCTACATTCCTAACACTCGATTGTGTGACGGTCCTTTATTTGGCACTGGAGTCGATCTGTTGATGAACATTTGTCCTGGTGGTGGTGCTAAACAACCTTCAGACCGCAGACAAACTTGTGTGAGCATTTTTTTTAAAGATTGTCTTTGCTTCTGTTATGGCTAAATGAATCTCATATTAAACAGCAGTAACTGCACACTGCAGGAGAATAAAGCGCTCTAGATGTTTACATTGTGAGTTGTACTTACTCCTGGAAAAACTCACCATTACAATGCTACAGGGATGTGGGTGTCACAGTACAGAAGGAGACCAAAACGGAGATATACGGTTAAGAAGGGTTCTTTATTGAAACAGAGGTGCTGAGGGGAGAGATGCAGAGCAAACGGGTTAAATGAAAAGAGTTCCAGAACTGAAGGGATATAGCTCATGTAGTGACTGCTTCTTGTAATCCGGTGATTGTGAACAGGTGTGTGAGGTGATTGGGCCTGATGAAGCTGGACTATCCCTGACAGTGGGAGCTTGCAGTGGTGTCACTAATAAGGTTTTCTGAGAGGAGTTGCTATGTGGTTTATAGGGCATTCTGCTGCAGCTGCTATATTGTTTTGAGTGTTTTTTACTGCAATATTCTCCAATTATTGCCAGTGGCGGCTCGTGGGTTTTAAAATAGAGGAGGCACACTAATTGTATTGGTCTGGGGATCCCTGCCGATTATTGTTATTATTATTTGCTTAACCACTTTAAAATGACTTTTTGGTTGCTTTTAGTCAGAAAACGACACACATACAGCAAGATAATATAATTTCACTTACCTGGCCTATCACTTGAAGCAAACATCCATCCCTTGTTAAAAGAGCTGACTGCTGTAGCCTATATCCAGCTTAGGTGTGTTCTCCCTTTATTTTTAATTTGTATACTGTTTGAATGACAGTTTGGTAAATCTTTTGGCGATCAAATATTTAATATCGCTACTCATAAGTACTTGGTACATTATCAGTGCAGCGGGAGACGTTCAAACTAATATCATGTAATTTACCATGATTGGTTGATATCAGAAGGAGGCTAGCCTCCCCTACGAGGTTTCTTTTCTCAACACTCCTCAGCGCTGAAAGTGAACACTCGATGCTGATTGGCTAATTTTTTTTTTTTCCAACGGAGGCACGAGATGCTCAGCTCTCCCCCGGCCTCCCCCTCCCATTCTCTATCACCTAGTGGTTGTAATTACATCAGCAGATTCGGCACATTCGCGATAGAAAAGCCGAGCTTTCCAACTTCAGTAACGTGTTATGGTATTACAGCTGTGAAATTACAAACAAAAAATACACATTCTGAGACATGAACTGAAATGAATTGTGAATTTTATTAACATTAAATCGTCCTCCTCCCATTTTCACCTCAAAATTTTGGGGAAGCTGTGCCTCCCCTGACTCCCCCCACGAGCCGCCACTGATTATTGCTAGGATGTTACCATGGTATTGCGCTTTTGGTTACTGGTCCAAATCACTATATGGCCAAGTTCACACAGCAGCAGAATATGGTTGTCTTGTCAGTCCTGTATTCCCTAATACGGTTGTGTTCACACACATATCAGTTATTTATGGGAGTGCAATCCCGTAAGTTTTCAAGATCATATTTCCGGTTAAGCCCTGCTGTGTGAATGGAACCAGACTGGACAACTAGCTGTCTGTCGCATTATACAATGCCAACAAACAAACAATTTTTATTAAATACGTTACATTAAATAAATGCATAAATAAAAAATGGGGGTGTGAGAAAAATTCAACTTTAATTCGGACTTTTTTTCACAGAATTGCGAGATATAAACTCACAATTGCGAGCTATAAAGTGAGAAATAAAGTCAGAACTGCGAGATAAAAACTCGCAATTTTGACTTTTTTTCTCGCAATTGCGAGTTTATATCTCGCAATTCTGACTTTTTATCTCGCAGTTCTGACTTTATTTCTCACGCAATTCTGAGAAAAAAAGTCAGAATTCTGACTTTATATCTCACAATTCTGACTTTATTACTCGCAATTGCGAGTTTATATCTCACAATTCTGTGAAAAAAAGTCAGAATTGTGAGATAAAAAGTCGCAATTA